AATTGCGAAATTGGAAGATATGCAAACACAGAATAAACTAATAAAAAATTTGCTATCAATATCACAAAAAATACTTACCTGACCTGTGACTAAGCTGGTGACCATCCTTCAGGAGTCTAACTAATCTCCTATCAGATGTAACACAATTCGTGATATAGGCACGTAAATCTATAGTGCTATATGCTATGGACTATTTTGCATGCAAACTTTTTTTTTGCGCAAAACTATACCTAATAAAATGTTTCATTCTGACTATAAACATATTATTGATAGACTACCTGAAAGTCTTGTTAAGAGGGTGTGTGAGAGACTTTTGCACCATTCTAAAGATCCTGTTCCATTAGAATCTATTTTTGGAAAGTCTGAACGAATTGAATCTTATTTGAGACACACATTAGAGGTTTATGAGAATTCGTTAAATAGGAAGAAACGTAAAATTATGGCTCAGAAAAAAGTATTACGTCCTCAAAGCTGGCCGGAATGTAATGTATCCCCAGCATTACCGACTATACATGTTGTAGATAGTGGAGTCCAAACAGAAGAAATAGCCCATGATTATGAAGAAGAGAATAATCGCCAGGTAGTGAATAAGCTTAAAGTGCTATCCTACCACCTGCTCGATTATAATAGATGAACCTTTGGGAAATTTATGCAAGACATAGAAAAGGATTATAGAGAGCGGGTTACTGCAAATAAAAAAATGCGCTATGAGATCAAAAATCTGAAGATGCAATTACTGGAGACAGAAAAAGAGCTGGCATCTATGAGGTCGAATTCTTCTCATTAGTTTGGGATACTTTTTTCCTTGTACTTTTGCAAAGTAAGATCCTGGCCAAGATCATGCAGGATCTATATAAATCAAAGGTTCTCCTATACTCTTTTATAATCACAAAAAAGAATGGCATTTCGGAGGTCTCATCTAAGGCAAAGAAGAACATGTGAAGAATATAAAGCTGAGCTGGAGGAAGAAAACTACCATCTTCATAGTGAATTGCAAACAGAGGTAGATCTTAACCGCCAGAATGAAAGTCGAATTAACCAACTAGAGCGAGATTATTCCCAGTGTGAACAGGAAATCCAAGTTCTCAATAGGGAAATAGAACGTCTTGAGAATGCTTCGAAAGAAGAGATAGTAGAGTTGAAATCTGAAATCTCTAACCTAAAAAGTCAGCTATATCAAGCCAAGAAGGATGTACGAGATAAGAAAAAGGTTATTACTGATCTAGAAAAGCGCTTGAAAGAATCTGAAGAGCAAGTTGATAGACTACGATGTCGAATCAGAGCTATCTCATCACAAAAGAATACACCTGAATGAGGGAATTCTCCAGACTTGTATAATCCTAATATTAACTTAGAAATGGCTACCATCACAGAGCTAGCAAATGCTATAGATGGTTATGTGGAAAATAGGACAACAGCCAGGAATATTCTAATAGATCAAATAAAAAAGGCGACAAGGCAGGTACGCCGAAAAGAGAATAACTTGCATCAGGATTTAGTCCGTGAACAGAGAAGGCGATATGATGCAGAGGCTGAGCGTGATAATGAAATTATATGAAGGCAAAATGCTGAAGGGGTGGAACAAATGGCTATTGCCGACCTTTATCAGTTACGAACTAATGGCCGAAACTAAGTTAACAGAATGTTAAATAGGATAGCAAGAAAGTAAACCCGTATAGGTGTGCTGGTACAAGAAAGATTTGCCTTACAATTATTGTATCAGCGAAATGCCTACCACCTACAGAGAAGTAGAGGAGATATAGGTCTGTTAGAATATAATCGAGACAGGCTCTATAAGCGATATGAGAAATGGAAAAATAAGACTCAAGTAGAACGCCAAAATAATTTAAATTTGCAGGCACAAATTTTGGCGCTACAGAATAATCTACCAAATCAAATAAACATGGCAGTAGAACACCCATATTTTGACTGGGATGATAATATTCCAGATTTTCTTGCACAACTAAGATTAGACTTGCAAAGACGTGGTATAGATCTAGCAGATAATGCGAGAGGTCCACCAACAGGAAGAGATCAAGCAATAGGATATTTAAGAGGATGTATGAGAGGAAGAACCTTAGAATGGTTCGATGAAGAAATAATTTCAAAGCAAAATTGGGAGTTAACTAACCTAACTGATGATACAGGACAAGCCAATTTGGTTGTAGTAAATAGACGTACAGCGCTTCAGATAGGTGCTGATGGATTAAATGAGGCGGCCGGACAACCTGGAAATGCAATAGTCAAGCTAAGAGCTGTAGAAGGGCCTTAGGATGAAGATTGGCGTGCGGCAGGAGGTCGTCCTACTAACCTTCCAGTAAATTTACTAAATGCTGGTAATGGTACTATGATAGTTGTAGCTGGTATTCGTTTTGATCAAGCTATATGGTGGATAAAAACCCATTTTCCTACAGTAAAAGAAGAGCTTCGGAATTTGATGTATGGAACAATCAGAAAGGGAGACATGACTATAGATGAATTATATAGAAAAATATTACGAATAGGTAGACGAGCCAACTATAGGCCTGAAGAATTACGTAGAAAGTTCTTAGATGCTCTTCCACTCCCATGGCTTGAAAAAGCTGAGGATATTGGTGAACATTTGCCATTAGATGAATTAGCTAAAAAGCTTTATGAGATAGAGTTAAGATGAATTGCTAGATATAAAAGAGATAGAATATCTGATCCGCTAGTATCTCAACGAGCATCTCGAGAAATATATGAACCCTCGCCTGTTTCAGCCCTGCAACAGCAAGGAATTTCTTTAGAAGATATGCAAAAAGCAATTCAAAACGCACTGGCACAGCAAAAAACTGAATACCAGTTTTTATTAGAAAAGCAAAAATCTGATTTTTAATCGCAAATGGCTCAGCAATCCATTGCACAAAAAGCACAGGCATCGGCTCCACAAACTGTTGAACCCGTTAGACAACCGAGAGGTCCACTGGCTTTTACAAAGTCGGAGGAAGGTATGAGAGATCATCACATATCTGAATACTTAAAAAATTTAGGTTTTCTTAGCAAGAAAGAAATAGACCGCGATTATCCTATAAAGTCTTTTCAAAGACCTCGTCCACAGCGAAATGATAACTCTTCTAGAATTGATAGGATGGAAGAAGGACTTAATGAAACTCGTGAATCTGTGAATCAGTTAACCGAAGAATTCCAGAAACTAAATATACGTAAACTAGTAGCACGATCCAATTTTAATCGGTCTTACTTTACACCTATTAAGCCTATAAATCCTCAATATGTGTCTCCAGATTCAAATGATGGTGAAGACAATAATTGGTGGACTGGGTACGAGCCCGAAGACACAAAGTATGAAGTGTCAGAAAAAAAAAACAGGTACCAGTAAATGAAAAGTTGTCCACAGAATCCAGCCAGCCTGAAACATATGATGAGCTATTGCCAAAGCTTTCACCAGTCATGCGAAAAATGTGTCAGTCATATACAGTTCGGAAAAAGGAATCAGATGAGTGGTTTTCGTCATTACAATACTTAAATGCTAAAATAGATGATTTAACGATCTCTAATTCTTTTTTAGATTGCGGAAGTGAGTTCAGAGGAGTAAATGATGCAACAATTAATGCCCTTGGGTGGAAAGCTGATAAGCTATCAGACTTCACAATAAAAGGTAATTCCAAACACATTACCGAGTCATTGGAATAGTTTACAGATGTACCAATCAGTATAAAGGATAAGGATGGTAAAACTGTCACAGCTACTGGAAATTTTACTTATATTGATAATGGAGAACCCGAACCAATGTTATGTTTAGGTATGACATGGATTAGGAAAGTTCAAGGTGTCCTCGATTCAAATAAAAATCAATTCTGAATGAAGTTACATGGGAAAGCTTACATTATCCCAACTTTTAGCAAAGCTCCAGAAGTTGAAGATCCGCCCAAAGAGAAGCAAGACCAAGCATCTACTAACTCCTCTAGCCCAAATAGTGAGGAGGACTTAAAAAAAAGTGTGTAAAGCTTGAAGAACGTCTTGCAAAAGCTGAAGAGTGGCTTGGTAAAGCAATAAGTGCTATAAAAATACTTGCCGAAAAGAAGTAAGTTAATTAATATCATCCATTTGTTTTAATACCTCTTCAAGTTCAGATCCCATTTTAGATATAATATCAGTATTATCAGTGGTATTAGCACTGCGCTGTGAAAGCACCTCTGTCTCTGTCTCAGTAGATGCTACACTTATTTTACCTGTTTTCTTTTTTCGGCTATTTTTCTTCAGTAGTAAGGCAGGTGGAGAGAAAATAGCAGGAGGTGGGTCGTAGTTTACTACAGGTAAACACCCACCCGCATATGTAGTATTAGAAATATCAGCTATCGGTTGATTTCAGGCAATTCTATTAGCTTCTTCACCTCTCCAAATCTGATATATGCGCTTCATTGATGTGTTATATTTGGCCATCAATTCATCTAAAACTTTCTTTCTCAGCCTTTCATTTTCACGTTGCATAATAAAATCATAATCAGCTGTTGAAAATAAAGGCGCATTACAATTTATACGCTGTCTAACCATAATCACGATGATGTATTTTTTTCAGATAAAATATTTCAAAAAAAAATATTAAATAGAATGACTAGAAAAAATGTATTCTTTGTGATAAATAAGATAAGCGTAGTTTTTATGATATTTTGAAAATAATTTAATAGAATAAATAGGATAAATACATTAATTCAAAAAGATTTATTGAGATAATTAGGATAAATGTGTCATTTTGGTAATATAAGAAGAGCATATTATTTCGAAAAATGTTTTTATTTTTTGTCTATATTTTTGCGGGATAAAAAACTATGCCTCGAATCTACACTTTAAATGATGTAGATAATAGTAATAGCAGTAAACTTGGAAGCCCTCCATCCAATCAATATCCACCGAGCCGATTAGAACTTGAAGAACAGCTAAAAAAAAATCGCGAAAAGTTTATAAGATCTGCTAAACAGCTTATAGCTAAATATCATGCCTTAGATAAAAAAAATAAGTGTATGCAAAGTGCCTTAGACGCCTCTCATAAAGAAAATGAGAGTATACAAAATGATCTAGACTGCTCCTATGAAGAAAATGAGCGTATGCAAAAATCTATGAATCAAATGATCCCTCTAGCTAATAAATTAAATGGTTTGAATAATAAGCTAGTTTCCCAAATTACTTGCGAACAAAAGTCTCATGCCGATCTTAATGCCAAGCAGTTAAAAGAAATAGAATCGCTAAAGTCTAAAAATAATTTACTAGAAAGCTCAGTATCTTCAACACAAAAAATTCTATTTTTAAAGGATTCTGAAATCACCTCTCTTGAGGCTAGAATAAATGAACTGGAAGCTGAGCTGAAATGAACAGCGCAAAAAGCTTTATTAGACGAAGGCGCTGAGGCAAAGGATTCTGATACTACCCAGTCACTTAAGATTAGAGTAAAGGAATTAAAAAATGAACTGGAGCAAGTTACGCAAGATTCATCATTTAAGGATGGATTAATTTTCTGTCTCAGATCTAGGGTAAGCAATCTGGAAGATGAACTAAATCAGATTGCTTCGCATCAGGCATCTCACAATTCAAAAAAAGGTAGTGCAGAAATAGATTCAGACTTATCATCCAATGATTATAAGCATGATGAAGTAGTAGAAAAGGTTTCCCATTTTTCTTCACACTACTTAGAGCGCGAACCCGATGGAAAAGGAGATTATGATAGTATTTCAGCCATACCTATTATTATGTTAGGAGGTAATAGTAATACTTTAGCTAATGATCAGACAATAATCCCGCTTATATTCTTGTTTGTTATTTTTGCCTTCGTAGTAATATTAATTATATCCTATATATACAGGCGAATTTCTCGTCCAACCAAAAAGAAAGAAATTTTTTATCCAATCTATAGAAATCAGAGTTATGGACTCCCAATCCGTCATGCAAAGGAACTGAAAGAAAGAATTACCACCTATGAAACTTTATCTTATGGATATGGATGAAGTCACAAAGCATGAATCATCCTAAATTCAACTATTTTGCCAATCCTTCAAAGGTTTATCCCATCTAAATCTAATTGATAAGGGGTCATCAGATGGTCTTCGGATATCAATAACCACAAAGTGCTTTTTTATTACCTCATAAATTTTTTTTGCTAGAGATTCATAATCATCATGTGTATCTTTAAGAATTCGCTTTATACTATCTAAAGTTTCACATCTACGATGCAATGAAATGTATTTAAGATTTCCGCGTATATTTAGATGGATTTCATAGAAACGCTGGGCAATATAAATTGAGCTAATTCCTTCATGCCTGCCTGACCTAAAGAAAGGAACGATTTTTAGTTGAGTTGCCAGAGGTTTACCGGTAAGGTCATCAAAGACTATAATAGTAAATCGACCAGTTCTTTTGAAAGACGAAATATCAGGTAGTTCTTCAGGCGTGATTAGTTTGAATCTCACATTTTCGTACCAAGGAGCTTGCTTATCCATGGCTATAAATTTATAAAAACATTGTACTGCTTCCCATAACTCTTCATCTTGGTGTTGCGTAACAACAATTAGATCATCACACAGAATATACCTTTCACCAAAATTTTTGCTCCCGCCTTTTGGTATTTTATGACCACGTTTTTCACCAGACATTCACGGATATATTTTTAGATATTTAGTTCCTAGAAGCAGATGTACTATCATCTTTGTCTTTCCTGACTCAGAGATGCCCGCAACTCCTAGTCTAAATGGATGTTTAGGAGTGAATGGATTCTGTTTTTTCAAAGATACAGTTTCATCTAATTTGTATAGCTCGTAATACTCCATAGTTTTTGAAAAGTTAGGATACTTATTCACAATTCTAAATTGCTATTTAATAAATCGAAATATGCCTGCTCTACTCCCATTGATTCCTATAATACAAATAGATTTGGGTGAAGCTCGAGATTTAGATGTTGGTATTGCCTTACAGAAGATATATTACCAGCCTGTTGGCTACCAGAGAAATGCGAAAAAATTACATAAGGCCTCTTTGGATGCTGACTATGATTTTAGTCTAGACAAAGTAAGAGATTGGCTCGAAAGACAGGTAGTACATCAGATTCATAAGCCTTAGCCAAAGTATATTCCTTGGGCAAGTTTTTGCTCTATTACTTCTCCCAATGAAGTTCACCAGGCAGATGTTCTCTATATGCCTTATGACAAGATAGGTCAGATTACATATCTTTTTTACCTCAATATTGTAGACGTAGCTTCGAGATATAAAGTATCCATCCCTATTAGTGCATATAGTGTCAAGAATAGGCAAGGGATCTTAACTTCAAAGACTATTGCTAGAGCGCTTAAGGAGAAATATGATGATCTTGCGTGTCCACTTGTATGGCCGTTATTATTGATTTCAGATAAGGGTTCAGAGTTTAAAGGTAGTTGTGAGAAAATATTAAAAGAGCATGGTACAAAATTCTAAAAGGCCAAATCTAAGCGCTCTGTAGCTATTGTTGAAAGATATAATAGGACCTTATGGGAGAGATGTGGTCTTCCTCAAGATACGTCCGATCAATTACTTCCTATTACTGAAAGATCTTGGACTTGGGTAAAAAATCTCCAATTAATTGTTGAAGATATTAATAATTCCCTAACCTGGCAAATTGGTATGGCTCCTGCTGTAGCAATAGGAAAAGAAAGTGTTATTGCTATGCCTTCCAAACTGCGTGATGGGCCTATGGGATATGATGAAGAGGAATTGGATTATAATATCTCGGTAAGATATTTGCTTGAACCTGGTGAGTTAGAGGGTGGGAGGCGTCGTGCTAGGGATATGAATTGGTCTCCCCAAGTTTATTATATTCGAGATACTTTAGTGCAAAAAAATCAGCCTATCTTTTATTGGATATTAGATGATGAGGGCGTTGGCCCGAAAAGGTCTTTTGTGAGAGAGGAGCTTCAAATCGTTCCTCCTGATGTTGAGTATCCCCCTCAATGGGTCTTATCAAATTGACGACAAGAAGTCTTCAGTTTCTTCATTAACCAGTTCTTCTGTATTGAAATAATTCTTAGCTAATTTATAATATAACTTATATAGGTCTATAACAGCATTGAGAATTTTTGGATCTTTTCTATACCAAGATTTGTAGTCATCCATGATTTGATGATACTTATCCTTAGTTAGGAATAATCTTTTTGCATTTTCTAGAAAAAATTCATCAGGGTCTTCTGCCTGACGCAATTTCTTGATTCTTTCTTTATAGCTTTGCATGAATTTGCCATCCTTTGGCTTTCTATAATAGATTCCTGCCTTGACGACATTTATTAATGCCTGCTCAATCTGCTGAGAGGTGGGCTTGGCTTCGGGTAATTGAATTTGTGTACTCATTGTGTAATTAGTATATGTATTACTATATTGTATAAATATTTATTCAATTAAAATTATTTATACAACTATTAAATGGATGAAGGTATTAAAGCAAAAGTGAAATTTATTTGTTATTATCTTCTTAATACTGGTGAAATTTGTGGCAGACGTAGTACTAGGCCTGAAGGTTGCCGATCACACTTCAAAGCTAAGATATGTCTGCCGTACTCTGTTTGCAGTAGACCCACAAAGATAGATAAGCCTGAAGGGATTGATAATGACCTATGTAACTATTGTAATAAGAGCAATTATCAGATCCAGCATGTGAATATGCTTCGGGATAATAATAGTTTACTGGAAAATGAAAATGCTTTGATTCGAAGGGAAATTGATGAATTGCTTCTAGAGCTATCAGCGAATAGAGCTGGTTAGATTTAGAGGTTAGACTTAGAGGTGAGACTTAGTGGTGAACTTATCTTGTGTACATGCTCTGCTTCACTCCGTAGACTATGAACACTATTTGCTTTCTCTAGAGGTGACTTAAAGGTGAGACTTATTTTTTTTCACCTAGAGGTTAGACTTAATTATGTTCGCCTCTAGTGGTAGGACTTTGAGGTGGAACATATCTTGTGTATATGCTTCGCTCCGCAACATTGGCATTCATATTTGCCTCATATATTAGCATACTTTAGAATTGATGGTAGCATAGGGTCGAAAAAATATAGCATCCACATTCGCCCATTCACCCTAAAGGGCTGGCTCATATTCCTGCTATATTTTTTCTCCCAACGGCATCTACATCGCCCTAAAGGACTTATGCTCCTGCCTGTTCTCAACTACCTATATATTGTATGCTATTAGGAGAATACTTTTTTCACCTAGAGGTTAGACTTATTTATGTTTGCTCTAGAGGTGAGACTTGCCAAAGGTGCATTGCAGAGATGAGACTTAAATATGTTCGCCTCTAGTGGTGAGACTTTGTGGTGAGACTTATTTGTTTTCATATCTTGTATACATGCTCTGCAAGCTTGTTAACATTATTTGGTATGACTTTGAGGTGATACTTAGAGGTGAGACTTATAGGTGTAATTTTTTCGTATGACTTAGAGGTGAGACTTAGAGGTGAGACTTATTAGAGGTGTGACTTTTTTGTCCCAAGTTTTTTGAGGATGAATCGGTTTATAAATGGTTTCCTGTATATCGAAAAAAAAACTTATATACTAGAATTGATTCGATACTTCTTAGATTATGAATTTGATAACAGCTAAATCTCACCTCTATGAGGTAAGACTTAGCATATGGATACCAAAGGTGAGACTTAGTGACCCTTTGTTTTTATCAATGAATCAGCTTTAGAATTAATTCTAGAATATCATAAAAATTGGTATATGTATTAGGCTTGTAAGGGTCGTACCGTCTCATATTTCGTCACTTTGTTCCTCAATATTCGACGGTACTCCCAAAGGCAAGCAGAATAGTATATTTTTTTGATATATTATTTAGGATTAAATCGGGCTAGAAAGGCTATAAAGATTGTTTTATTCTTGGTATCTGACGGGGTAATTTAATACCAAATTTGATACCAAATATTATGATAGCGGGAAGAGTCTAAATTTGGGCTAGAGATTTAAATTTTATAGTGGATTTGTATAGCTAGAAGGGTTCAGAAATATAGCTGGGAAGCTTTTTGGAAATTCTGTCCTAGGACCCCCATAGTAGCTCTACTCACTTTCATTACTATCCTTTAGTTCAATTTCATCACTTTCTTCTGATTCACTTTCATTATAATCTGAATCATTTTCATTACTATTTCTGTATCATTTTCGTTTCTTTCATCTTCAACTTTTCTTCTGAGATTTTTTCTATTTACCTTATTTTTTAATCTATTAAAATCAAAAATTAAAGCATTCTCTGTACTATCTGTAGTCACAACACTTGAATGATCGCCTAATCATATTAATGTCAATAGCATCCCAGCCTTCTTTTACCCATTTGACTACGAGTAAGTAGGATAGTCTTTTAATTTTTTCTAATGAGATATAGTCTTTAATAGCTTCACACATCCAGTTGTTATAAAGATTTCATACCTAATTTCAAAAATTAAAGGTTAATTTAATAAATTATTTAATTATTTAACTAATTACAGTAAATTAATTACCTTTGATTTAAAAGATTTATTCAGTGACATATCAAGCGGTTGTAAGTGAAATATTAGGCCATCTGGGATAACTGCCAAATCAGTTCTTTTTTCACAAAATCATTGCTTTATTGCATCAGTTTTGTGTGCAGTAAAAGAATCTAATACCAAAGTGACTTTGAATTATTATCTCAATTTACACGTTTTGTCTAAATGTTTTCCACCTACTAGATCATCTTATTTTCATTCATCCAGCTTTCAGGATTAATACGAATTATCACATCATTAGGAA